ACAACCAATTTGGGGGACTGAAAAGAGTTTCAGACAGATATGTATTATGGGATGGGCAGGGTTCAAGGAAGCCAACAAGGGAGAGTGCAGGTTCATGGGGCCAGCAATGGTGGGAAGGCATGCCCCCACCCTCTGAGGTCAGACGGGGCAAGGGGAGCAGAATGTTTCCAGAATCCAGAGACAGCAGCTGCAGAGAAAGAGCAGCCTGCCAGAAACTGAGGCTACTTTCCTTCCACCCACTAATCTCCTGCCATTCGCTCCACTTGCTGAACTCAGCTGGAATCCAGTGGCCAAGGGAGCTTGCTGCTGCAATCCGTACAGGGCAGCTCTTGGGGCACTGATTAGGGGTGACATGGAGACAAGACCGGGATGGACAACGGAAGGAGATCCAGCTCACGTTTGAAGGATGTTTCCACCCTCGTGCCAGCATTAGAGGGAGATGCTGGGGAGAGACAGTGCCCCTGACATCCCCCCCAGCTCTAGACCTCTGTTGCCACTTGGCTTTGGGACATCTGTCCCTTGGTACCTCTCAGATTTAGCACATCCAAACCAGACCACTGAGCTTGCTACTCAGTTCTGAGCCATCCTTGGACCTCCTGATGATGTGTCATGCTATTTTTCTAGATTTCTCTTCCCAGTCACCCAGGCTTAAAGCCTCAGGGCTACCTCCATGGTGCCCTCTTTGACAAGCGGTCAGTTGCTACCCCCTCCCTCCACATTCCTGTGCTCCTCCATCTCACCCATCCTGTCTTTTCTCATTTTCTTCCAACTAGACTGGTGGCATCTACTTCTAACTGTCATCACTAATCTCTTCCCCTTTAAATGTACCCTACACACCACAGCCTGATTAATCTGTCTAAAACACAGCATGGATGGTGACTCATCTACCCATGTCTTAACCAACCCAGCCCTTCCTTATTCGCCAAATATGCCCCATGCTTGCCTGCCTTCATTTCTTGGCTAAAACCTTTCCTTTGCCTGGAGGAGGGGCTGCCCTTTATCTTTTTCTCCTGAAGCCAAGCTTTCTTTTATGCTCCCAAAATATTTTCATCTTCCCTCCTCCCCTCTCTCTAGATATTCTGCTTGTACCTTTCTTACGGCACATATTCCAGCTTACCTATGTTACTGTCATTCGGGACATGAGTTCTTTCTTATTTTCCTTACCCCATTGCAAATTTGAGAGCCAGGGTCATGCCCTGTTCATTTCCGTAGTTGCCCCTGAGACCTGGCCAAACAGCTGGCACATAGTAGGTGCTAAATCCCCATGCAGTGAATGAACGGCTGTGGCTATCACTTAGGATATTTTCCAAAGACCATATGTACAATATATTTCTTGGCCTGCCTCTCTTGTCTACATAATGATATAAATCAAGGGAGGCCCTAACGAGTCCCATGTTGATTGTGGGGTATATGACTAATCCCGTAATATACTTGGACTACTTTATGAAAGCACTTTTCAAACAGCTTTATAGCATATCTAGGCCACAAGGTTGGGAATAGATACCTAGAGATTTATTGGATCATTAAATGAACTAGGGAACAATAGGCATTGTGTTAATTTACATACACAGTGAGAGAGATCCAGGATACTTAAACCATCCCCATGTTAAAAATCAGCCCTCAGGCCCCATGTAATCTGCAACTCGCCCAAAAGTACCCCCACGAGGTACGCAGGAGCCTCTCCTCAGGCTCATGGAAACAGTAACAAAAGTCTTAAAGTCTTAAGTCCACCACAAAGATCTGATCGGTGTGGGCGGGGGAGGATGGGGGGTGGGAAGAAGAGAGGAATTGTCAAAAGTGCAGTGATTTAGTGTCTGTCTCTTTCTTCCCTTCTCCCTCCCTCCCTCCCTCCCATCACCCTGCCTCCTGCACAAGGAACTATTGAGAAGGCACAGAACAAACGCTCCCTTATGCGGCTCCCACAGCGTCTCTCGGTTTGTCGGAGACAGCTGCCCGAAGCACGCTATGGTTACTCATTACCCGGGTTCCCAGGCAGGAAAAGGAGCAAACTTAATAGACCCGAACTAACCCTGAGCTCAAATACTCCAGCCATAAATAAATAAATAAGTCAGGTGTACCAGGGGAAGCCGAGAGGGAATGGCTGGGGAGGGGTCGGCAGTGTAAGTGGACTGAGTTGCAGGGGGGGAAACACAACCCAAGAGTTTCTGAAAGGGGAGGGGAAGGATGGAGGGAGGGAGGAAAACTCCTCTCTCCCTTTGGAGGAAGGACAGAGGGTGTTTGTGTTGCTTACTTTTCCCTGCCTGCAGAGTGGACGAAAGGCTCTCAGTTGGCCATCTGGGGACCTTGCGGAAAATTAGAACTTTGAGGGGAAAGGAAAGAAAGTCCTGTTTCTCCAGTGTGAGATGTGGCTGGGGTTTTGCTTTCCTCTTAACTCACAGAGTAAATGGCTTAGTTCACGGCCATGGAAATGCCCATTGAACAGATGGGAAGGGCAGGAATGGAGAGAGAAGCAAAGGGACTGAGGGGCAGAGTGACTGTTGGCAGGAAGCTACTCATGCCCCAAAACTTGAGTCGTCTCTATGAGTGCTCCTCAACTCACACACTTTTGCACCACCCCCTACTCTAGAAACACTGGGCAACGTCTGGAGAGGTTTTTCATTGTCACAACTGGGAAGCCAGAGTGGTACTGGCATTTAGTTGGTGAAGGCCAGGATGCTACTCACCACGCTACAAGGCACAGGACAAAGCCCTGTAACAAAGAATGATCCAGGCCGGGTATGGTGGCTCACGCCTGTAATCCCAGCACTTTGGGAGGCCGAGGTGGGTGGATCACCTGAGGTCAGGAGTTCAAGACCAGCCTGGCCAACATGGTGAAACCCCATCTCTACTAAAATTACAAAATCAGCTGGGCTTGGGGGCAGGTGCCTGTAATCCCAGCTACGTGGGAGGCAGAGAGAGGAGAATCACTTGAACGCGGGAGGCGGAGGTTGCAGTGAGCTGAAATCGAGCCATTGCACTCCAGCCTGGGCAACAGAGCAAGACTGTGTCATCATCATCATCATCATCATCATCATCATCATCATCATCATCATAAATGATCCAGCCTCAAATGTCACCATGCTGAGACTGAGAAATCCTGCTCAAGATGTAAGTCTCAGAACCCAGCCTCCATCCCAGGCTGCCTCTAATTCTGCATATGGCATCTGTCAGTCCATAACAGGTCCATAAATTCACTCCTTCTTCCAGGGTGAAAAATTGAGAAAAATCATAGAACAGCACATGCAATGATGCATTGATGATCTCCTTCCCGCTAACCCTGTGGCCAAGAACACAAAGCAAACACGACCCCAACAGAGAAGGCAGGGGAGGAGCACACCAGTCAAACCAGCATTCCCTAGTCCCCGTCTGATCATTGAACAGACTTGAGGGGGCGCAGCACCTTTTACCTGGTCTTAGAATTTCGGCCAGCCTTGGCATGTTGGGGGCTTGGGAAGCTGCATTTTGCGTTTTGTTTTATGGCTTACTCTGGACCTCAATTTAATCAAGTCAGTGAGAGTAGGGACAGACCCCAGTCACCACCTCAGGACCATGGCAAAATTTAATGAGCTTTTTCAGGAATTTAAAGTACTCACAGAAGGGCCTTCTGCCAAAATGAAGCATGGCCCAATGAGTGTAGCCCAGCGCAGTGAGGGTGGACAACTTCAAGGCCATTGTTTTTCGGGGGGCTGTGGCAGCTAAGAGTTGCTGGGCCCCGCACAACCCTCAAAGTACTCCCAGGAATGCCACTGGTCTTTCCACAGCTGTCCAGGGGTAGAGAATCCACTGAGGGTCAATGACTCTGTTACAGTCATGCCAGTACCTTAAAGGTTTGTGGTGGGGGGTGCTGTGGAGGAGTTGGGGAGGGATTATATCTGTAGTGTGTGCACGTATGTGATGTGCATGTGCATGTATGTAATGTGTGTGTGGATGTGTGTGATGTGCAATGTTTGTGCATATGTGTGTGCTTGTACCTGTATGTGATGTGTATGCATGGCATGTATGCATATATATAATCTGTGTTTATGTGTGTGCCTGTGTGTGTGTGTGTGTATGGCACACCAACTGATCAATGCCAGAACAAGAAGACCAAGGAAGATCCAGAGATAAGACTGTCCTACCTCTGATTGATGGGCATCTTTGAAGAGGTAGGCTAGCATCTAGAGGTTTCAAGAGGAAGCTCTGCAATGTCAATGCTACTCTCTACTACTTCTCTGCTACTTCGGAGCTACGTTACCTTGGGCAAGATGTGTAACTTCTGGAGGACCCAGTTTTTTCATCTCTGTAGAGGGGCAATAAAAGGACCTACCTGTGGGTTTCAGGAATTAGTGAATTCATGGAAAGCACCTAGCACTGGGCACAGAGCAAGCACTCAGATGTTGGCTGTTCCAATTATCACTGCTTTGGGAGACAGTTCTTCCTGGAGTCTAACCTAAGGCTTCCTGCCTCCTTTCCTGCCTCCGGGGGACTCCATTCCCCTGATCACCATCTCTGTGTGAGACAGTCCTCTTGACTTTAGCTGCTTCTCTTTGGGAATGTCAGACGTCAACACTCCAGCTGTCCCCGGTTCATGAAGCCCAGCCAGGAAGGAACCGGGGGAGCAGATCACCAACTCTCAGCCTCACACGTGCCTCGGGGACCCCAAATCCTTCTCTGGTGGCCCGGCAGACTGAAAAAGTCTGGCTGGGGTTTTCCCCGCTTCTGCCTGCAGCCAATGCCCGCCGAGGCTTTCCCTCCTAATTCCCCAGATGCCTGACGGCGTTATTGCCACAATAAAGCAATGACAGTCCCCTATCAGCTCTCAATCAGCCTAGCCTGCCCTTCGCAACCGGTTTGTCAGACCGCCCCTCCCTTCCTCGTTGTTAGCTCTCTGCTTGCTTATCTGCTGCTGGAGACAGAAGTCTCTGGTTTAATTGTGGCAAATTAATGATTGAACTCCACAGCCAGCTCCTCCCCAAGTGCACGACAATCCCTCCCATTCAAGGCGCCAAGAAGGAACTCACTGTCATCGCCGAGACCAGAGTCAGCGGGTGAAGGCAGCGACCAGTTCTGGAACCACATTCAGTCCCACACCCAAGCAGCTGAGCAAAGCTCTTCCTCCTCCATGAGGTCTCTCCCAGCCCTTCCGTTCATGACGCCTGGGTGAGACAGGTCCGTGTAGCAACACGGCTGCACTGAAGCTTCCTTTGTAGATCGATCGATGGTGCTGTGCCACATAACTCACCAGCTTACTTCGCCTGGGCATGTGAGCACCTGTGTCCGATGAGAGCAGATACATAATCAGTGTTGAGTTAATGAAGGAGCACAGATGAGTCTCCTCTCCCAACTCAATCAATTGTATTGTATAATGGTGGCTGTGTATTTAATAACATGTAACTCACAGGCACGGTTTCAAGCACTTCCTCCTAATAACTCTACGAGGTAGGTACTGTTGCCATCAACACCTATTTTACAGACGAGGCAACTGAGGCACCGAGAGGTGAAGTTGCATGTGTAAGACTCCAGTGAGTGGGAAACTAGGATTCAGATTCAGCGTCCACACACCTAAGCATCACAGGACACCCCACCCATGAGGATGCTGCCCTTATATAAAATGGTAAAGTGAAAACCTGGAATCTACCACTCAACTGAAGATCTAGAAGATGAATCCATGCCTCTCTCTGACTTTCTTTTTGTTTTTTTGAGACGGAGTCTTGCTCAGTCACCCAGGCTGGAGTGCAGTGGCACCATCTTGGCTCACTGCAAGCTCCGCCTCCCGGGTTCAAGCAATTCTCCTGCCTCAGCCTCCCGAGTAGCTGAGACTACAGGCGCGTGCCACCGTGCCTGGCTTTTTTATTTTTTAGTAGAGATGGGCCAGGCTGGTCTCAAACTCCTGACCTCAGTGCTGGGATTATAGCTGTGAGCCACCACGCCCGGCCTCAGTTGCCCTTCTCTCTTCTCCCCAGAACAACGAACACGCTGAATTTTGTTTATTACTTCCTTTATTTTCACTGTGGTTTTAATATATATTGACATGTCCCCAAATAACATGCTTGGCTTTTTGAACTTCATAAAAATATCTTTATGTTATATGGAGTCTGCAACTTCCCTACCCTGAAGTCATGAACATGTTTTTCTATATTTTCCTGCCTACTCCTCCGATGTTCTCTGTCTACCTCAGTACTCCTAGGTATAACCTAAGCTATTTTAATTTGTATTTAAGGATATGTTCTTTGCCAAATGTTATCGAGTTTACAAAATAGCTCCTCATCCATCTCTTTCAGCACACAATGCCCACTCCTTTCTTTTTCTAACCATCTAGAAGCCTCTACAATGATGGTACCCATGTTTGACAAAGGGTTTCTGGGCACTTCCGGACAGCCTGGGAATGTATTAATAGTTGGGAACTGAGATCAATATGTCTTAGATGTTTCATGGCCTAAGGGACAACAGCACAGCATTGCAATGAGGCTAAGAATGGGCTTTGGAGTCAGGCGTTCCTAGAGTTGAATCCCTTGTGTCAATCAGCTGTTGACATAAGAGTGTTGCAAACAAATGACTTGAACACTCAGTGGCTTCAAACAAGGGACATTTCATCCTGCATTTGCAGTCCTACAAGGCTGACTGTGGTTCTGTGGTCTACAATGGACTCAATGTGCAGCTTAGCGTGAGTATGCCTGTTGACTGAGCTTGGATCCCAAGCTATGGGTTGGTATCAGTTATCTACTGCTGTATAACTACCCCAAAACTTAGTACCTTAAAACAACAATTATGATTTCTTTCTCATGATTCTTTGGGTTGCCTGGGCTGATCTGCTGATGTTGCCTGGGTTCACTCATGTGGGTAGGGTCCAAGACAACCTCACCTGTGCAGCAGTTGGTGCTGGTTACCCACTGGGGCTCTTCCCTTCTCTTCCATGTGGCTCCTTCTCAACCAAGCTAGACAGACTTCCTCACAATATGGTGGGCCCAGGGTTCCAAAAGGGTGGGAGGCCAACATGCAAGGTCTCTCAAGGGCTAGGCTCCAGAACCCACACCCTTCACTTCTGCCACATTCTATTGGCCAAAGCAAGTCACAAGGCAGCCCCCAGGTGTGGGATGAGAGAGAAACAGACTCCTGCTCTTGATGACACAAGTGGCAACTTCACACTGCAAAGGCCCATGAGTTGAGGGTGGTGTGATTCCTTAGTTGGTGGATGGCAACGCAGGGAGGTGATGAACACAGCCTAGCACATCCGGGCCCTAGTCAACTCATGTTTTTTTCTCAAGCCAAGACTGAAGGGCCAGTTGTAACCTGGGACACACACTTCTTCAGGTGACCACAGGAGCCCAAATCAAGCCAAACTGTACAAGTACCTGGCAGCTACTACTCCTGGTATGGTTGCTAACATTCCATCAGCCAAAGCACATCACATAGCCAAGGCCAACATCACGGTGCGGGGATAGCAGGGAAGGGTGTGTGTGTATAAAACTAAACAACAATCCAAGCTATCATAGCCCCACTGTAAATTCTCATTCTTAGTTGACCCATCAAATACATGGGTTGTTTTAAGGCAAAGCGACCAATTCATCCCTATTTGCTTGGGACTTTGTTGGATTTAGTACTGAAAGTCTCATATCCCAAGAAACCTCTCAAACCTGTGCAAATGGGATGGTTTATCTTCCCTATTCTGAGGACTAAAGGAGATCCTCCCAATGGCTGCCAGCCAGATATCATCATTATGACTAGCCCCATTCTGTGGAAGAGAAAAGCAACTTTTCAGTGGCCATAGAGACAGTAGGTGGAGTAGCCAATATTCAAACCTGACCCTATTGAAGCAGCTCTCTCTTATCATACATTTCCCATACCTGTTGCCTCCACAGTCCTTCTCATTTGAGGTCTTCCTGGTCTTTATTTTTTTTATATTAAAACAAATTTTTTTTTTTTTAAGACTGGGTGTCGATCTGTTACCCAGGCTGGAGTGCAGTGGCGCAATCTCAGCTCACTTGCAACCTCCACCTCTTGGCCTCCAGTGATCCTCCAACTTCAGCCTCCTGACTAGCTGGGACTCCAGGTGTGTGCTACCATGCCTGGCTAATCTTTTGTATTTTTAGTAGAGATGGGGTTTTGCTACGACGCCCAGGCTGGTCTCAAACTCCTGGACTCGAGCAATCTATCCACCTTCGCCTCCCAAAGTGCTGGGATTATAGGCATGAGCCACCATGCCCAGCTCAAAACGAAATGTTTTAATTGGCAAACAATAATTGTACATATTCCTGGGGCCCATGGTGATGTTTCCACACATATAATGTATAGTGATCAGATCAGGGTAATTAGTGTATCCATCATCTTAAACATTGATCATTTCTTTGTGTCAGGAATATTCACTAGCCTTCTAGCTATTTGAAACCATGTATTATGGACATTCTACGGTGCCATAGAAGACTAGAACATATTCCTTCTATCTAGCTGTCATTTTGTATGGATTTCAACAAACCTCTATAAAGGGGAATGAGTTTCTCTCTGTAAAGGGAGAAACCAAGTCCCAGGGACATCTGCCAATGAGGAATATGGAGTACTGGGGCCAGCCTGGAACAGAGGCTAGTCACAGGAAACAGAGGGGCTAACCCATAACCAGGAGGAGGCCCTGAGAGACAGGGAGGAGGATGCCGCCTGGGCTTGGGCTGGGCTTGGCTGAGAATGGCTGAACCTCAGCACTATGCCTCTCCAATCTCCCGTGACTTTAAGCTTTGGGAAATGGCCCATGAGGTCTGACCCGCTAGAGTTGGATTTCAATCCTGCCCTGGGCTCTAACTCACTCACTGTGTGACCCGGGGCAAGCTGTTCAACCTCCCTGGGCCTCCATTTCTCTGTTTATGGACGACCTGCCTGTCTTCCCAAGAATCACTGGGAAATGAAGCCTTGGAGTTCCCTAGAGAAAGGAGGTGTTATGGTAGGCTATCTGGCCACCATCTTGTAGGTGAACCCCAAAAGAGTGGCTTGGTAGTTTTTTTCTCAGAGAAATTCCACAAAGAGGAGGCATGTTACAATGGAAGAATATTGGATTTGGAATCAGAATACCAGGTTCCAGTCCTGATTTGCTATTTAAAAGTCACCGATTGTCTCAAAGCTATGGTCTTGCTTGAGTGTGAATCACAATTCTTGCCTTGTACGGGGAGGATCAAATCAGGTAGGAATGCAGCCACATCAGTCACCTGGAAGGAACATAGGCATCCGCAGAGGAGGGCTGAGGTGTGGAGTCTTTGCCCCAACATCAGTTAAGTGGTGAGTGAATTGACTTGAATGAAACTGATGAGGATGGTGGTAACGATGCTCTAAAGCACCCGAGATTTCCCCCGGTTCCCTCAGGGAAGCCCCACTCTGAGACCTGAGACCACCACTCCCAAATCCCTGTCCCAGATTCTTTCCTTTTCCGAGGGCATTTAGAGGACAAGCACCTTCTGATCGGAATGTTTTCCAAATACTCAACATCTGGAAGGAGCTGTTACAAAGGCCCCCTTTGTGCAGCCGGGAAATGGGCTGGCAATAAAACAGGGCCAGACCCCGCCGAGCTGGGAATGGCAGTGGGGAGAGGGTGGGTGAGAGGAGCAGCGCAGAGCAGCCTGGGAGGAGGACCTGTGAGAGCAAGGTCGCTGAGAGGGGTGTCCGGGCAGCATGGGACAATGGAGAGTGGCCATTGCATATCCAGCGCTTTCTATGCGCTTTCTCTATAGTGTCTTATTTATGTAAAAGAAAGTTTCGGCAGTGGTCACAGTGAGGGGGGAAGATGTATCTGAAGCATGGTGGGAAAGATGGGAGAATTCACTCAACAGTGTAACATTTTTCAGGTCTTGACCGAGAAGGCAGAAAAACCTTCCCTGCTGGAGTGTTAAAAGGTGACAATGCCCCCAACCCTGTTTCTAACCTGCATCATTCCTCCACTTCCTTAGAGCCATGTGCTCAGAAAGCAGGTCCAGGTCCCCTTGCAGGAGCCTCCTGTCCCTTTGGTCCAGCAGGTGTCTGTAAGTCTGTGTGCAGGCCCTCGGGGGTTTATGGGACCTTTAAGAACAGAAGATGCAGTGCCATGGTTCTTCCCATCTATTCTACCGCAACCAAGCAATGCTCTGCCCTTTCTTGTATGTCCCCTGGCCCCAAAGCAGTCTGAAAACACAAGGGAGTTCTCTTGATGGAAACTTCTTGGGAGACTGCAGGACTGCTATGCAAAAGCCGCTTCCCAAAAGCCAGAAAGCCGTCTGCTGTTTCCTTCCAAAAGTATCTGGAAATCAATTCAGGCA